AATTTTTTTAAATTAATTATTATTTTTTTTGGCAGAACTGGGGATTAAACAGGCCCTTGCGCTTGCCAGGGAAGTGCTTATTCTACTAAGCCATCTCCTTGGCCCCTAATAATTCTTACTTATGCTCGAAGTATAATTACAACGTATATGAGAACACCCATGTTCGTTGGTGTCTTTATCTTGGTGACCTAAAGCAAAGTGAGATCTAGGACAACTTCAGATGATGCTGGTACGTACACAGAGGTCTTCAGAGGGTGTACTCAGACCATACACGAGGCTGGAAAGGTGGAATGTGGACCTTAAATCAAACACTGGCTTCCAGGAAAGTCAAGCAGCACTACAAGCTGCTACTACATTTGGGGATGGATATCATTGCTAATTTTAGAAGACCGGAATACAGCTAGCCAGGGGAGCAACCAGTTCCCACTGGAGCCCAAGCAGCCCCTACCCAAGACCCCTGCTGGCTTAATGGACAGACAGGAGACTGCAGCAGGAGTCACTTTGAAGTATGTATTTTTTTTTGTACCAGAATCAAATTCATGACCTTCTGCTCACCACCTGAAGCACTGAACTCTATCTCCAGCTTAAGCATGTACTCCTGAAGGTCTAAGAAGGACAAAAATCAAGCCCTCTAGTTATTTTAAATTGTTAACTATTGATCAAGAAAAAGATCAGGCTGGGTGTGGGGGTGCATGCCAGCAATCCCAGCACTTGGAAGGCTGAGGCAGGAGGATCTTTGCGAGTTCAAGACCAGCCTAGGCTACAAAGTGAGCTGAAGGCCAGCCTGAACTGCTTATACTGAGAACCTGTCTCAAAAACATGAAAAAAGGTCAGCCTTGACCCTAGGGTGTGCTGAGCCCAAGAACGAGTCCAGGCACGGTGATTCCCGCCTGTAATCCCAGCGCTGGGGAGGCTGAAAACAGGAGTATCGCTACAAGTTCCAGCTGCATAGTGAGGCCCTGTACCAAACACATACAGGAGGGAAGAAAGAGGAAAAAAAAAAAAAAGGACTGCCATCTCAGGTTGTTTGAGTGAGGCACTGGTAAAACATATCCATAGCTCCTAATTTGATAGGACAGATTATTTTCTCTCTCTCCCTCCCTCCCTCCCTCCTTTCTCATCCCCCAAAGAAGTAAAATGAATAAGGTAAACCGTCTTCCCAAATCAGATGACATTAGACACTCTAACAGCAGCTCAAGGGGGTATTTAACCAATCATAAAAGCTAAATGTTGTACATATACTCCTGATTCTTCTAACAGCTCAACAGCTGCTTCAGATATCAGATGACAGGACTGGTGAGATGGCTCAGTGGTCTAAAGCACCTACTTAGAACAAGCTTAGCAAAGCACAGGGACCGCGGTTCAATCCCCCAGCACCACATGCCAGCCCGCCCCGCCCCCTGGTGGGCTGAGCTGGCCACACACACACACACACACACACACACACACACACTAAAAAAAAATTTAAAAAAAGCAAACAAAAAAACACTAAAAAAAAAAAAAAGATATCAGATGACAGCTCTTGGGAGGCTGTGAACAGGCGGATCACTACGAGTCCGATCTAGTAGTGAGACCCTGAACACCCTGGAGACCCTTCCCTAAGATACAAAAAAAAAGATATTAGATGACAGGTTAAAGACCTGTCAGAATCTGCAATTCCCTGGACCATCTCCTTACCCTCCTTATGCAAAGCTACGACTGGATCCTCCTGCTGGAAACCTTTGCTGGGCATATTCATCATTATCCTGCTGACCTTATCTGGCCCGCACATGCTTAACTCTTTCTGTGGCCTTGTCGCCTCCCAACTCAAAGCTATAGTCTACACGTGGCATTTATCGAGGGCTTTCAGATAGCCCCTCTGTGGAGTATATCTGACTGTGGATCACAACTGTGATCCTCTTCAGCTGGAAGTAGCCAGATTGGTCTTCAACCCTTGCCCCCTCATGGCAGCCAGGGGTACTTCTCTAAGGGAAAGAGTAGGTTTTTTTTGGGGGGTGGGGGCAGAACCGGGGATTGAACTCAGGCCCTTATGCTTAACAGGGAAGTGCTTATTCCACTTAGCTATCTCCCCAGGCCCCGGGAAGAGTATTAGAGACAGCAAAATTAGGTAAGAATATTACAGGCAGCCAGGTGTGGTGGCGCATGCTTGTAATCCCAGCACTTAGGAGGCTGAGGCAGGAGGATTGTTGTGAGTTTGAGACCAGCCTGGGCTACAAAGTGAGTTCAAAGCCAGCCTGGTCTGCATAGCAAGACCCTACTTCAAAAAGACAAATAAGAAAAGAGGGGCCAGGGAGATAGCTCAGGGGAATAAGCACTTCCCTGGCAAGCGCAAGGACCTGAGTTCAATCCCTGGTTCCGCCAAAAAAAAAAAAAAAAAAAAAGGAAAGAAAAAAAGAGAAATGAAAAGAAATATTACATGCTGTAGCAGGGGCACATTCATTGAAGGCTGGGCTTCAAAAAGAGGAACCACCCACCCGTAACTTCCTCTAGGGATGAAGAGCGGTGATTGATACTCTACACAGACACCATCACCTGGGGGTGGAGGACCAAACCTTCTTAACCCATCCCTTCCTGGCAAGTCCCTGTCTGCCCTTGTGTGCTTGCTGCCTGACTTCTTTCCCCACTTGATCCCCACCTAATCAGTATTACCCAAGCAACTAGACTTGCTGTAATCTTATTGGTTGACCATAGTTTTATCCCACCTCACACCCATCCTACAATTTGCTATTGGATCAGTGTCACCGAGGCGGGTATTGTGATCTTACTGATTGGTTATAGTTCTGTCCCACTATAAATCCACCTCGAGGCGTGTCTTTACTCGTCTTTACTCAATAAGCCCCTTGAAAAGCAGGGTTCATGGGCAACCCACTTTCTAGGTCCCCTTCTGTCCCTTTCAGAAGCTTTCTTTCAATTTTCTTCCCACTTTTAAAAAAAGTGAGGCAAAGTAAGAGATGAAGGATAACAAATGATCAAATAGTTACAGCAATATGCTATAAAAGCAGGTTGATGAATGTGATTCTCTCGTTCTCGCTCTCTCTTTTTTTTTTTTTTTTTTTTTGGTGGAACTGGGGATTGAACTCAGGCCCTTGCGCTTGCCAGGCAAGCACTTAATCTACTGAGCTATCTCCCCGGCCCTCTTTCTCTCTCTTAAAAGATCCCATTTCCTATACTGTACCTTCAGACTTGTGCAAAACTGAAACTAAGGAAGCAAAACCAAGAAAACTCAGAGGCCACCATGAGGGAAGACAGCTACACATGGTTATACCCCTGACCCCAGCCTGTTGTCAGCTCACTGTCCCCAAAGAAGGTGGCTCTTCCTTTCTTAGGAACAAGGTGCAAGTATCCCTGGAGGAACCCCAAGTTCCTTCCCCCTCTTTTCGATGTTCACCAGCCAGGTGAGGTGACTGGGCTGCCTGCCATTATTGTGGCTTCAGCAACCGGGCTGGGCTTTGAGACACATTTGTAACTCCAGGGAACAGAGAGGCAGGAAGGTGTAGAGAGTACAGCAGACTCGGCAGAGGACTTGGCAGAGGACTGAAGGAACCAGTGCGAGGATGACAGGGTCCACCCATGGGGGGGGTCTAGGGAGGGGGCCGCAGCTCAGAGCCACAGAGCAGCCCACCCACCTCCCCACAAGTCAGCTGTTTGGAGCAGCCGCCCGGGGGCTCCATCCCGATGGAGCATGAAGGCTGCTTGCTGGGGACAGGAAGCGGCTCGCTGTCCCCTCCTCATGAGGCTCAGCACCGCTGAATCCTTGGGAGCCTGCCCATGCGGCTAGGCCCGCGGACACTGCTCTTCCGTCCTCCG